GAGTGCATAATGCCAGAAGAAATAAATAAAAATTGTTACGGTATACAACGTATAAATGTAAATCAGTAAGTACTACCTGTTAAAATATTTGCTGTGAAGAGAATCAGAAACATATTATAACAGGCATGGAGGCATGTCCCCACATTTCTAGCAGTGTTTTTGGAGTTGCAGAGACATTTACACAGAATTAGGTATTTAAATAGCTTTATTCTGGGGAAACTGCCTGATCGGGTTTATTAATGCTGGAAATGGACAGGGCTCATTCACAGAGACTGCAGGAAGTGCTGAGGTTTGGCTTTTAAGGAACAGCAATGCGGTGCAAGCAGGTAATAGTGTAATCTGGGCCAGTTTTTATGTTCGGGCAGCAACCTTGCACACTTGATGGGTAAACGTGGGTGTTCTGTAGGAAGAATTCACTGCAGTCTCAAAGCAATTTCCTGTTTGGGAAATATTGAATATTGATTGATATGAATTGTACCCAAAATTTAGAAGAATGCTTTGCAAATGGCAAATAAAAGTTCTTCTTGAATATTTGTGTGCTGACATCATAGAGGTCAGTTGGGCGTTGGCCAGTTTATTTTTCAGTGGCGGGATGAGTGAGGCTCCCTGGGAAAGGGCATTTCAACAGCGACCTTTAACAGCGGCTGCATCAGTCCAGTGTCATGCACCTTGGTCACCGAGAGATCCACGGACAGCAGTGAATTTCAGTTGTCAGACCCCTAAGAAGGCAAGAATGGTTATATATGAGAGGAAGCCATTCAGCAATTGAACTGTTTCGTATGTTTTTCTATGATTTTTGTCCTAGGAATGGGGTCATGTCTGTCTGCCAAAGACAGACCTGTACAGAAAACAGCGACAACTTTCTTTCAAACAGAAAATAAAAAATCCTCACCATGCTTACTAATTTGAATAAAACTGATAAAAAACTGAACTGTTCAGCTCACATCTATAACATTGTGTTTCACTGCACTTTAAACAGCCCCTCCTACACTCTGTATCACAATACCAGATGTTAAAGCAATGCAATGGTGAAGATTCCCAGCCCATCTCCACACTGATTTGTCTAATGGTAACCAGCGGTGACTTTTGCTTTACCAGTAATGGCAAGCAGATTTGCTGGATCCTGGTCAATCCATCCTTATCTATTTTAAATCCCGTTTTTGGCAGAGAGGGCACGGGATTGCTCGAGACTGTGAGCTCCCCCTCTGCGATGGACTTTTGGCCTGTGACGGTATTCTGGAATCCCAGATTGGGACACTGATCAGAAGCAGACTGTATCTTAAGCAGCAGAGCGCAGCCAGGAGGGTGAAGAGCACAGGGCTGAATGACTTGTGACAGCTCCACATGGGAAGAAAGCAGCCGCCGAGAACAGAGGTACTGCACTCATGAATTGAGCAACTCATAAATCGGGCATCTTCTAAAACTTCAGATGCCGAAATGCAAGGCCGGATTGCATGAAATTAAAAAACAAAACCGCAAATAGTTCTCTTTCCTTCAGATGGGAGACTGAGAAGCAGATCGAAGCCCGAGGAACGCTGCTGTTGGAACTTAGGCCTGCTAGGTGGCAGTAATGCTAACTGCCTCATGGCTCCAAGGTCCTGTGATTGTGGGTCCTTCTGTGTGGAGCTTGCATGTCCCCTTGAGTCCATGAGGGTTTTCTCCTGTCATCCTCCCAAACCCACACTGGTACCCAGCTTGACTGGCTGTGCTAAACTGCCCGTCCCACAGGAAGTAGGAGTGTGGCCTTTTTCATTTACCTGCTCCATCTACTGTAGCTCCAGTACAGCACCGGCCCCAGAGCAGCAGGATTAGGGTCCAGGTGAGGAGAAGGAAACAAAATCTGTACCTAAGCAGTGTCTGTTCATCACTTCATCCCCTCGTGGGCTCCGGGGGCTGGCATGCGGATCTGGTTTGCTCACCCTCCGCCTCCGCCTGCTCTCGCGAAGGGTCAAGGCTCTGGACTGCCGGTTCTTTACTGGCAGCAGGAAGGGGCTGACCCCCCGCCGGCTCTGACTTTGCCTGCGTCCCCTTTTTTCAGCCGCGCTCTCGAGAAACATCTTGAAGGGGCGTGTTCCACAGCCGCGCGGCAAGACTGCTCCATCTTGCGCGCACACGCACACACACACACGCAGGTAATTAGATTCAACAAATTGAACTGTGTGTGTGTGTTTGGAGGGGGGGGGGGTAAATAAATCAGCCAGGGAACAGATAAAAGCCGGGGACTCGAGGAGGATGAACGGTCCTGGAAGCTACAGGAGATATTCGCGACCGACCGGCGCCTCGGGCCCTGTCCGCGCTCCCGCTGCCTTTCCCCACGGTGGCGCTGTGGCCGGGTCAGCTCCACGGAAGGCGACCGACCTGCGCGCCCGACAAAACCGCCAAGCGAAAGTTGCTCAGCGGGAGCAGAGACTTGCGCCCTTGCTGAGACCGCCAGAGTAGGGCCCCACTCCGGGCCCTGAGCGCACAGGGCGACAGGTTCGCAAACCACCCCTGGGCACGACAACCAGCAGCTGCCCCCACTGAACACAAGCGGATTCAGAGCCCCGTGCAAGCGTATGTGCACACCGAACATCTGCACGGCGCCCAGCAATGCTTATTACTGCTGTGCACAATCTGCTGCGCTGTTTTTCAAATTTCTGGTTAAGTCACCAAAACAACATTTAAGACACTTGGCCTTTCTCAACCTCTCAATATTTACACAGCAAAGAAGTCTGACATTCCGGCTCCCACCAGGCCTCTTTGTTGCCACTGTGCTCTTTTCCTGGAAAGGCGCGCAAATCTGCTTAAGAAAATCTGAGTTTCTCGAGGTCTTTAACATCCTGAAGTGGAGGAAGGCACACTTCGCTTAGCTTTTTCTTTTCCGCGTTTAAAACTTTTGAAATTGCTTTCTGACAACGGGGGGAAGCTTTGCAGAAACGCGATCAATAAATCTACCGGATAACCAATCGATCAATGAAAAAATGAAAGGGAATGCTGAGAGCAATGGGAGCCGTAAGAGAGGATGGGCAAATAAAAAGAAGAGGAGCAAATTGTTTTTCGAAAGAGATGACTGCGGCGAGACGACAGGAGAAGACCTGTTAACTCGATTTTGGAAATAAGTCAGGGGGAGCCGGCAGAGAAATAGTCCTCAGCCCGAGCTCGCTGGCTCTGGGGCAGCACGGCACACAGACGACGGCTCGATATTGACTTCTCCAGAAGGGAGAAAAGACCAGCGCTCTGCACCTCTGCACTTCAAGAGCAATAAAAAAAAAAAAACAGTGGAGGGGAGGAAAAAGAGAGAGAAAAGCAGACTCCCCTGGGGGCGTCGAAACGTAATTTCCAACTGGTGTGACGGAAATTTTTATTTATCTGCTCAGCCCATCTGTGCAGCGTTTCTTAAATTCTCCCCGAGAAAGGTCTTTTTGATTATCAACATCGCCATTTTAATATACTTCTAAATCACGGCCATGCCAAACGCAGAACAGGACTTTCAAGCGTGCAGAGCTGGAGTCTCTCTCTCTCTCCGTCTCTCGCCGGTTTTTTTTCCAAAGCGGAAAAATTGCGAGTTCAAACAGAGTACATGTTGTAAGAGAAAACGGTTGCGTTTAAAATTGATGCACTCCGAGCAGCCCCCTCCTTCGGCTACCTCCCTCCTGTCTCTCCTTTCCCCTTTCTTTCCCCTTGCTTGTCTCTTTTGGCAAAGCAGAAACATGTTTCACTTCAGGCTGAGATCAAACGGTTTTGTCATTTCTGACAAAAATAGTAGTTTTCTTCTGGGGCTGGCGGAAGAAACGGGCCTACAGATCTGGACAGCGTTGTTTATTGAGATTCATAAACCGAGTCTGAAATCAAAAAGTTAATTAACTTGTAATAAAAAGAATAATTCACTCGTGCCTATGAGTTTACTTTTCCAGCACAGCCTTGCTTCGGCGATGATAAACTGCTCTAAAAAAATAAATAATGGACGCAGAAAACAAAAATGCAGCATTATTCAATATGTTTATTTAATATCCAGCAGCACACACTATCTTTGTTAGGAAATGTAGATGCTGGATAAGAGTGGGACCCACTGATCTGAAAAACACACAGCAAAAAATGACTAAGCAAGGTGACGCATCATTTCGGATCGTGATTTTTATCCCTGTACATCTTTAAACCGAGGAAACCTGAGACCGTTAGGTGTGAAAACTCAAGGTTTCACAGCAGCCCCCAGATTCCGGCCCTGAAGCCGGGTGGAGGTCAGGCTGCAGGAGGAACTGGTGCACAAGGCTGGCATGCAGACGCTGGCTCGGTGCACCACAAGGCCCTCACAGGCCACAGGAATGACCGAGGTCTGACCGTCCGCAGCGCAGTGCAATCTGTTCTCACTCCTGTTCTGCCCTGGGAGCATTTCCTCACACGGGGGGGGGCAGAATGTGGAAGGCCACGGCCCTCCCGCCCCCTGCCCTCCGTGCTGACCTCTGACCCCACGTCCTGCGGCGCCACTTTCCCCTCTCCAGACCGTGTCACCGGCAGGGACAGCGCTGGCCGCATCCAGAGCAGAAGGGCGGAGGGAACATACGGATATCTCTACGTGCGCATTTCACAAAACCGCTTCACTGAAGTCTACAAGTCGCAAAACGCATGAGCCCAGCACAGACCACTAAAGGGTTTCGCAAAATGTCCGTTTCAAAATCTTAAGACGAGGAGGAAGAGGAGAAAGCAAGAGAGGGAGGGAGGAGAAATGACTTCCCAGACAGCAGAGCGAGCAAACTTGAGTGGCTGCAGGCCGTGTGCTTGGCAGTGTGTGGAGAGGCCATTGCATTTCTGTGAAGACAGTTCATTTTTCCTGGTGACCTCCCCATGACTCCACTGCTGATGGGGTGAAAAGCAGGTGGATCAGACTGGCAGAGAGAGAGAGCGAGACCCCACAGGGTATCCAGGAAATAGAATTGTAGAGCCGTTGCCATGGCAACTCTCATTGTGTGCTCGTGATGTCATTTGTTTACCACTATGAGGGCTGGCTGCTCTGGGTTGATTATTCCTCTCAGTCCTGGGGAGTCAGGTTTAGTGCTAATAGTCCAGGGATGGAATAACCTTTAATTTTAATGCTTGAAAAACATGTGCTGTGTGCATAATGATTCCTGTGCTGGTACCAAAGAGCGCTCTTTCTTTCTTTTTTTCTCTCTCTCTCTATCATCGGGGCTAGTGAATTGCAGAGGAGGGCAAGGCTCCAGCCAGACACTGTAGCAGCAGGACTTCCAGAGGCACCTCTCTCTCTCCGACCCCTAAGACCTCCGCCATTCCTCCTCATCCCAGCCGAGCCTGCTCTGCACTACCTCAGATCACGTGAGGACTCAGAAACTGAAAGCGTGCGCTCGGCAGGGGGAAAAGGGAAATTGGGGTTCTCCTGCATCACTTCCAGGGCTCAGGAAACTTTTCATTGCCCTGCCGGTGAACCCGCGGAGCCGCCATTTTTAAAACAATTTTCCTCCTCTTTTCGTTAAGAGGCGGGGATGATGAAAAGCTTGTCGGGGAGACAGCGCCCTGCTTCAAAAAAATCTGCATTTTCTCAGATTGTGAGGTTGACACCACAGCAAACCCACACCCGGTTTGATGAGGGAGCACCGAAAGGCACAGATTAAAACTAGAGGAGAATACAAGATCCGTCATTCCTGTCGTACGAAAATCAAAGGAAAATCCGCCCCTTACATATCCCTGACTAAGAGCACCAGATTGTTCTTTATGCTAATATTTTACAATTGCACTAATAAATGAAGAACATTCCTGTCCACTCTAAGAAATTAAGGTGATGGCACAACTGAAGGATTGCATTTTGTAAACTGATCAATAGGAGCACTATAAATTTAAACAGGATGGGTTAAGCCATTTACCTCTTTCTTCCGGAGAGAACTTTTATTTCAGAACAAAACAAACATTTGTGTCATAACAGAGCACCTGGGCTACAGTACACATAACAGGCAAGAGAAATTTCCCTCCTCTTGAAAAACCTCGATGCTCAGGCAAGTCAGGAACATAATGACAACGGAGCACTGGTGCGGAGCAGCTAATTAATGGCGAAAGAGGCGCACCGACGAAAGAGAAGACATGCATCAGAAACAAAAGCAGCAAACAATAACAACAAAAGCAAATCCTTGCTCCTGTGTGCGTTGAAGATTACGAATTGCTCCTTAACTTAATGGCCATTTAAAGTGGATTTGTGCGCAATGCTGAGTGTCTGTAATGATAGCTGTTTACAGGGATTCTCATTTATAATAATTAGGAGAAATGGATGGCACTGCTGATTCTACGTTCTGGGCAATTGACTAGGGGCTGTGCCTGAATAATGAGCTACTGTATGTGACCGGGAGATGACCGCTGCCTTTCGGATGACCCCAAACCCAGACTCCCCGCCCCCCGTCCCTGGGGCAGCCAGTATTAATGGCAGTAAACCCCCGTGTCGTCAGTATGCCTTCACAGTGGGAGCGGCCAGACCCCTCCCTGGCAGGCCAGAGAACACACCCGGGTCTGGGGACCAGAGAGAGAAAGGGGAGCCCCGCGCCCTGATACTCTTCCCTGTTCTTCCTCCTTCCTCCTGCACGCCTCCCGCTCCGGACAGGTGCTGCCGATCCAGCGCCGGAGCCCTGCAGCTGCTGAGCCGCCCCTCGCTCTCTCGCGCGTGAACCACAGGCCGGCGCTCAGGAAGGGTTCGAGGCAGAATGGGTATTACTGACACTTCCTCTTTTGTTAAAGAGGAAGAATGTAAACAATAGCTAGTGTGCATTGAGGTCACAGTGCACAAGGTCACGCTGACATATTCCTGCATGTACAAGGTCGTTTTTAACTTCGCAGCCCAGAAGGATGTTGAAAGAGAGCGTTACAGCCCGTTTTAATGGAGCCCAAGAAAGCAAGCTTCACAGCGCTTTGTGTGGAGACATGCTTCCTACTTTCAGGCACATCTTCAATTTCCACTTTGTCCCGTGGGTCTGTGGTTTGCTACCGAGACTGAAGCAGTCCTTTGGCGTAGCTCTGAGCCACCTGCATGCTTGACAATTCCCCAGGTGTGTTAGGACGCTGGACTTGTCCTGATTCCTATTGCCCACCGGTGCGATGTGACGGGGCACGTTTCTCAAACACAATTTGCCATCTCTTAGCTGAATCTCTGATCAAGAGTCAGGAGAGGTCAAGCTACAACTGGCTTTTATAAATGGCCTCATCTGGTAGCCCATCTTGTGTGAACAAGAAGTTTGCCAGACTGATCAAAAGCAATCGGTTAAACATACAATATACACAAATGAAGCTGAAGAAATAAGACTACACTGTATATTTCTTTTCTCAAACCAGACTTCAAAAGCTAATGGCAGTTTCAGGCAGTTAATCATTTCTTTGTTGTAATCCAGCAAAATTACTTTATGCTTTTTTAAGAACAAAAACAACCTGACGGCGATAAAACGTCTCTCACGAGAATTTTCTATACATGTCGAAAGACCTGTCGTGTCTTGATCTTGAAATCTGTCCAAATACATTGTGAGTTACTTGTCACTAGATGTCACTGCTGCCCACTGTTCTTAATGCGAAATGCACGTTCCTGGTTTAACTGTACAGTATAGCAGAGTGGCTTCAATCCACTTCATTTTAGAGCTCCAATACAGCCAGCGCTTCACTGTTGTAACAATGCTGGGAACAGGATAAACTGCCCCTTGGCACGGCAAAAAGTACATGGATCATGCCTCTAAATGTCTCTTCAGACAAGCGCCAGTATTAAAAGCAAGCAAGCCAGCTCTGTGAGGGGCCTTGAAAATGTAAACTGATTCCCTAAATGGCTCCCTGTAACTCCCTACATTGGAAGTGTATTTTTATAAGTACTATAAAACTCCTAAGTATTTTTATAAGGCAGCTTTGTGTAGCAATGCTTAAAGAGGGTACAGTGGATCGGCAGTGGTAGGTGGAATGATTTGGGGCTTCATTAAGAGGAAATGGAAAAAATTCAGAGGGAGAGGAAGGAGAGAGGTCAGGCCTGCTGGACAGCCCCCCTGAGCCTACTGCTCAAAACCGCCTCTCAGTTTTGCTCTCGGCTGCGTGGGCCGAGCATCCATACCTCACCTGGAGCTCCATTAGGGAGCTGCCTGAGCACTGTCTGAAACCAGCACAAGGCAAACACAATTCACATTAACTTGGAAATCCATCCCAATTAAACGTGGAATGCCAATTAGGGTAACAGTCTCTGGCAGACTCCTGTGCCGTCTGAAAGCCACGCGGACGTGCATTCCTGATGTGTCTCGATGCCGCCTTGGAGACGTGGTGGCAGCGGCCGGGAATGTTGAAAAAAGCCGCAGCCTGATTGGCCGCCGGCCTACAGAATCCTAAACCCACGCAGTGCCGTCCAATAGCAGTGAGGAAGAACGGGGAGCTGAGGTGGAGCTGCACTCTCAGGATTCAAGGTGGCATCTCAAGCTAAGCCAAATGCTCTCTCCTAATTGCCGCAATAACCTTCTGAAAACAAGATGGAGACGTGCACCAGGGAGCCGGCAGGAACAGCGCCTGTTACCTGGAAAGGAGAGTTCATTTAACTCATTAACCCCGAGAGCAGGGAAAACAATCAGGACCCATCAGCATGCAGATCACATGGAGGCATCATCACAGAACCGAGCAGCTCCTGCAGGATGTGCAAGATTGATAGATGGACCGGAGGGAATAATTAACCTGGTAAATTGCAGTGCGGTTCTCTCGTTAGAGCACGCCGCAACCACCGGAGAAAACACCTTCAGCTGCCCCCCTCTCTCTCTCCCGTCGTGCCCCCTGCCTGTCCCTGCCTCCGGAACGGCAAAGGATTTCTGAAACTGAAAGGGGCTTGACTGGCAACTCGGCAGGTGGCCCGGAGAGCACGATCTTTACAGTCCACACGATGGGCAGGTGCAGCACAAAGACGTTAAGGCAGCATGGCTCACACATGGTGCAAATTTGCCACAGCGTCCTGCAAATTCATTTTTCACCTTTATGGCACCTCCTACTTGCAATGAAGGGTTTACTTAATACATGGCTATACATGATCAATCTACAAATGAACATTTTGTGAATATTACTTTACATGCCATGCACTTTCAGGTTATTTCATTTCTGATTTAACAGAATTTTCAAATGGTTTCAATCCCACCGTCAAACACCTTTGAACGCTGTACCCTATTTTCTTCCTTTACATTGTAACTGGCATGTGGCATATTAATGACTTCATGACATTTGTTTTGCAAGGCATCATAATACCGTCCCAGACAAATCAAGGGTATTATGAAATCACGATCGTTCTTTAATTTTGCCATTAATTGATCAGAGCAGTATGTTAGCCATAATGACATCTGCAACACAGTCCCTGTAGGCCCATTAAGTGACTATTGGTATATTGCATAATTCATAAGTTATTAAATCAATATATTTCTTTGTACCCGATGTTCTGCATTTCAAATGCATCTTAAAATAAATGAGTCTGATGCATTTGAAGCTCTTCACTGTGCACTGTAACCATCCAGTGTACAGATTTTGCTCAGTAAAGTTAAAATTCTAAGCTGCTGGTTGGAAGGTTTCGTGGAAAGTCTGATAAAGAGCATATCATTATTATTTTTTATGTAAGTTCTCAGTGTGCTGTATCTCAAACGAAGAACAAAATCTTCTTTTAATAATGTGTTCAGTTCACAAAAGCATAAATCTCCCGGCCCCGATGACGTCCCTCCTGAATTTTTGTCTGACTTCTTGGCCTTATTTAGATCTTCTTCTGCTTGAAAGAACAACAAGTTGCCAGTCAGGAGGGATCATTGCAGAGGACTGTTAATACTGCTGTTATATCACTTTCACCAAAAAAAGAAACCGATCGCGCCCTTTGTAAGACCTATCGCCCGTCTCTTTGACTGAGTCTGACGTCAAGATGCACACAATGCTGCTGTGTTGCTGGGTAAAGGTCTGTAGGACCACATAAGACCGTCACAGTCAGACAGGCTTTATCAAAGGGCACCTTGCATGTGCCCGCATTGGCCACACTGCACACATGTGCACAGACATCGCACAGTGGGGAAATCTCTGACCAGCTCTCGATCGTGTAGGCTGGGGATCGGGTTTCATCGACAGGGTTACAGTTTCATACACCAGACCTTCAGCAATGATGTTAACAGGCTACAGGAGGTCTTCTCGGTCCGCGGTCTCTCGGGGGAATGTGTCAGGGATGTCCTGTTGTCAGTGCTGCATGCCTTGTGTGTGGAAGTACTAGCTCAGGCTGTCCATTAATCTGCTTTTTCTGCCAGTTTCTCTCAACAGTGTTCAACACATTCCCTTATGCTACTGACATACTGTTATATGCAGACTGTCTTCTAAAGCTCTTCCAAGACTTGTCTTATTTATTAATTATATCTGAGCCCCTTGATACTTTTTCAATAATATAAATTCTTCCAAGTTTGCCTTAATGGCTTTAAAATTTTCAATGTATTAACCTAGCCTACCTCTGCCTACACCAAGCCCTTCAGTGACCTTGCTATTGCAATTCAGCTGAATACTGTGATGCAGAGATCAATTATTGAAACTGGCACCGCTGCAATTAATGAATACATCATCCAAATGAATAACTGGATTGACAGGGCAAAACTTTTGTTCTTACAATTTGAGAGAGGAGTTAGCCGAGGGTCACATTCCACACCGAAGGGCTGGGAAGAGAGGGATTTTCCAGAGCAGATATCATTCCAATCGCAAGCCGAAATACTCACAGGAATGTGTTAAGGGACTAAGGGGTCGGTTTGTTTTGCGGGCATAG